GTATGACTTAGCACCAAAGGTGACATCTGTGACGCTGGTAGGTCCAAATCCTGGGATGCCTTTCTGCTCCCTGTCCTGGGCATACATGTGGGGCAGCAACCTGGGTCCAAGGAAGGAAGCTCAGCATGTGAGCTTGGTGGCCCCCAGCCTAGATCTTGCCTTTGTAATGTGAGAACAGCGTGTGTTTGCTACTTTCTGATACAATGATTGCATAGAATGTGTCCTATTTATAATGTGTGTTTGCTACTTTCTGATACAATGATGGCACGGAATGTATATTATTTATGACCATAAAATAAGATAGATATACCTGATTCTTTTTAATAGCTGCATAATATTCCATAATGCCAGTACGCCACAGTTGATTTAGCCATTTCCTTATTGGTGTCTATTCAGGTTTTTTTCTAGTTTGCAACTTTATCAAACAGCACAGCCATGAATGCTCTTATACACATCTGCTCACATATGCATGCAAATGAGTCTCTGTGATAGGTACCCAGAAGTGGAATTGGAATTTGAATAGGCATTTCTGTATCAGACGTGTATTCAGCCACTCATTTAAAAAATAACCTAACAGGAGCTTAAAGAAATGGGTTTGTTGTTTTCATGTAATAAGAGGTCCAGAATTGGTAGGCCAGGGATGATGCAGCTCAATGGTAACATCAGGGATGGCCCCCAGCTTTCTTCTCCATTAGATCTTCATTCCAGTGTTGCTTTCCTTGGGGTTCTGAGAAGGTGGCTGCACCCTCAGACATTATTACAGGCAAGAAGAAAAGGGAAGATAAACAAGGCCAAAGAGAAATACCAGTTGGGTGGGTTCCTTTTTAAAAGCCTTCCTGAAAGCCCACTCAGAGATTTCTTCTTGTATCCATTGGCCAGAACTGAGACTCAGGGCAACACAAACACTGGGAAGAAAAAGGTGGTGGGAGTGTGGATGGGGCTTGACTTGGCCACACTGTTTGTTTGCTTTCCAAAGTGGCTATAAAAACTTACCCTCCTCCCAGAATTCCTACTTCTCCCACACCATTCCCAGAAATGTCTTACATTTAAATTTTTCTCAATCCAGTGAGTGAAAAGAACATGGTATCTCATTTTCTTTTTGAAACTTACACTCTGTAATTACTACTCAAGATAGCATCTTGCTAGATATTTGTTAGACCCTTGAGTTTTCTCTTACGTAAAATACATGATTGTATTTTTTTTCCCACTTTGCTATTGGGTTATTTATCTTTGTATGGATTTGTAGGATATATTTTGGGTGATTTTTTTTTCCCAGAATATTATGGGGGTATAAATGTTTTGGTTACATAAATTGCTTTTGTACAGTTTGAATCAAAGTTATAAATGTGTCCATCACCCAGATAATGTGCATTGTACCCATTAGGTGTGAATTTACCCATCCCCTCCTCCCCATCCCACCTGCTTGATTTCTGTTGAGTTTTACTTCCATATGTGCACATGTGTGTTAATCGATTAACTCCAATATAATAGTACATGTGGTTGTGTTTCCATTCTTGCGATACTTCACTTAGAAGAATGGTTACCAGTTCCATTCAGGTTGCTACAGAAGATATTCACCATTTTTTTGTGGCTGAGCAGCACATATGGTATACATATGGTACTTGGTATATATATACCACATTTTATTAATCCACTCATGTATTGATGGGTACTTGGGTTGATTCCACATCTTTGCAATTGTGAATTGTGCTGTAATAAACATTTAGGTGCAAGCGTCTTTTTGATAAAATGACATTTTTCCTTTGGGTAAATACCCAAATAGTGGGATTGCTGGATCAAATGGTAGATCTACTTTTAGTGCTTTGAGGTATCTCCGTACTACTTTCCATAAAGGTGGTTTTGTTTAAGAAGATTGAATATGGGGGCCTACTCCCTCTTGGGTTGTAAGGCTTCCACTGAGAAGTCTGCTGCTAATCTGATGTGTTTTCCCTTGTAGGTCAGTTGTTGGTTATGTCTAGCCGTTTGTAGAATTTTCTCTTTCATTTTTACTTTGGCCAGGTTGGTTACTGTGTGTCTTGAAGATGTCCTGTTTGCTATGAATCTTCCCAGAGTTCAATGACCATCTTGTATCTTGATGTCTGGATATCTGGTGATAGTAGAGAAGTTTTCCTCCATAATTCCCTCAAATAGATTTTCCATGCTTTTAGCGCTTTCTTCTTCTGCCTAGGGATACCTATAATTTATATGTTTATTTGCTTCACATAGTCCCACATCCAAGTGATTGCTCTGCCCTTTTCATTCTGTCTCTTTAAATGATTGGGTTAGTTTGAAAGCCTTGTCTTCAAGCTCTGAGATTCTCTTTTCTCCTTAGTTTAATCTGTTGCTGAAACTTTCTGCTGTGTTTTCAATGACTCTCTTCATTTCTTTAAATTCTATTATATCTTTCCTAATTGTTGTCTAATTGTTTAGTGATTTTTTTTCACTAATATCTTGAAATATTTGGGGGGGGGCTGTTTTTTGTTGGTTTTCAGCTTTCTTTTCAATTCTATTCATCTTATTTGCCATCCATATTCCATTTCTGTATTTTGACAATTTCCTTGGAGTTGGAGTTCACTGCTGTAGCTGCATTGTGATCCCTTGGAGGTGTTAATCTGTTTTGATTTTTTATGTTGCCAGGGTTCTTTTGCTGGTTTCTTCTCATTTGAGACCTCTTTTCTCAATTTAGGGCTAACAGGTTTGCAGGTCTCCTGTTCCTTGCTGGAAACTCTCCTGCTTGATTAGAGTAAGGAGAGGTCACTAGATGGCACTCTTTTCTCTTCCCTTCCCCCTCCCCCATTCTGGAATTTTGACATGGCAGAGGACGGGTGTGTGCACTAAAAACCCTTTAATGCCGCTGTTCTGATTTGTTCTGTTCGCCTCTGATTGTCTCTGCTCAAACCTGTGTGCATGATGTTTGGGCTGGGTGTTCGGTGGTTCACCAGAAAGTTGTAGGATATTTGAGTTGGGAGCTAGGCAAGACCCTCTTCACTGAGACTGGTGTCACGGGGATTGCTCTACCCAGGGTTTCCGCACAGAGGTAACAGCAGCAGCTGGATGCGGTTTTCATGGGTTCCCGGGCTGTGTGCATTGCTCAAACCAGGCTGTGGTGTACTGGTGGCTTGAGGCCTGGCTGGCGTTGGGCTTTGGAGCAGTTCTTCTGGCCTTGCTGTAGTGGTGGAGGCTCTGGGTGGGGTCTTGGGGTCCAGGCGCAGTGCTGGAGACTCGGGGGTGGTGTCTTGGGCTTGGGGGGGTGGAGGGGGGGGTTCCTGGAGGCACAGAGCTGAAGCCTTGGGCCCTGGCATGAGAGCCGGGACTGGGGAGGAGCATTCTGAGCAGGGATGCGGATGACAGAGCTATCCCTACCTGGAGGGGTGGGGTCAGGGCAAAGCAGGCAGGAGGCAGTTGGGCCTTAGGGGCAGAGTTGAGGCCAAGAAAGTGGCAGACTCCCACAGGCTCGGGGGGGGCCCAAGGACCACGGAGTTCTCCACTGCCCGCCAGGAACTGCTCACGCAGTCACCCAAAGCGTCTCGGGTCAGAGCCTGTCGTGCCCTGTCAATTCCTACGCTCAGCTCCCCTCGCACTCTAGACCAAAGCCTTGGCCTCAGTTCACCAGGTATGGCTCAGGGAAGCGACAAGTCGGTCCACTGTCTCCCCAACCCGGTCCACTGTCTCCCCAACCGGGTGCAGACCTGGCGCGGTGCGCCCTAGAGCTCAGGATGGCTTTAGTTGCTGCCCGATCCCCCCTGCACCTGTCGTCTGGTGCCATGGCTCTGCAAAGACTCCAGTAACGTCCCCTGCAGTCCAACCAAGCAGAGGTCCGTGGGAGCGGTGGGAACTGTCTCGCAGTTCAGTTCACGCTGCACCAGCAGAACGACAGTGGTGCCCTAGTGCTCTAGTTTCCTGTTAGTCCCCCAGGCATTCTCTGATTTTGTGGTACGTATCGCCTGTCACCTTTTTTGTCCCCCGCTCTGAATGTCCCATATTGCTTCTCTGTGATTTCCCAACGTTGCTTCAGAGAAGAGTAATCCGTATATAGGCAGCTGCCTGCACCGTTCACCTCTGTCCTAGAGAGCAGTGAGCTAGTGCTTCTAGTGCACGTACTTTTTCTTCCCTCCTCTGGGTGATACCTTTGATCTCGTAAGTCTGGGCTGGTTTCTCAGATAGCTGCCTTTTAACTTCCAGTGGTGTTTAATCACATAGTATACTTAATTTTCATGCTAAATTAATCCATTTGGGGGAGGTTTTTATATTTTTTTGTGAAGGTCTTTCCCATTCTGAAAAAATGTATTGAATGCGTTAATAGTCTTATTGGTTCTCCCATTAAATAGTGATTAATGAGTTAAATAGAATTGATGTATGCTCAGTTTATATCTTTATGAGAGTTACGGTTGTATCCCTTTAAAAAAATGATCATTAAGCAGTTACTTCCTCTTTGTTTTTTACTACTCCTTGGTCATCCTCTAATGTAGAGGTTTGTCATAGGCTGTTCTTAAGTCTTTGGACCAGGTTGACTAGTCCAGTTATTGGTGGCTAAGGGTCAGAGGTAAGACACAAAGCATGGTTTCCTGTGTGCCAGGACTGTTGGCAAGAAAATACAGTGAACTAGCCTCTCACTTACCTAAGAAATACAGGTGCTTATGATAACCTCATAGCTCTTGCTAGCACTAAACATTCTTCCAATAGTTGAGAAATTGAAGAGCAGTCATGTATTAATTTTATTCACCTGGGTTTTCACATAGAGTGAGTTTTTGCTGAAGATAGACCTGTAACCTATAGAAATGTGTGATAAATAAGATAGAAACACATTTTTATTTTATTTATTATTTGCTTTTTAGTTATTTTTTTTATTTTTATTTTTTATTTCGGGAAACACATTTTTAAAAACAAATTGTAACTGTACCTATCTCATGGCTGAATTATTAGGATTATTATTTTTTGTTTTATTTGGGAGCACAAAAAGTAAACAGTAGTTTTTGAAAAAAGTTCTGAGCAGATTGCTGTATTCATCCAGACCAAATTTTTATTTTTTAAAAATGTGATACAGCTGTTTAATGTTCACATTAACAATAGCCAACATCCGTTGGGCTCATTCACATAATTCTCTATGTATACACAAGCACATACTATTTATATAAAAAATAAATTAAGCTTTAATAAGGAAACACAAGTTTACAAACGCAGCTTTTTAAAGCCTGATGAAAAATAGAAAATGTGGAAATTTCTGGGAGAGACAGGATCTCTGTGGAATCTGGCTCTTCAAAAACAAAACATTTTGAAAATTAAAGACCTGGGATAAATCATTGAATGCTTTTCAAATGCCAGTTTTGTAATTCTGCATATTTACAAGTCTAATTGTTAACTTTTTGTTAGAAATATAGCTTTTAGGGGTATCTCCAAAAAGTTAAATGTCACACAAGTTGAAGCTACATTCCTTTTAAAGTCAAAAAGATTGATGCCCCTTATTAGCCATTCTTCTCACTTCCAGATACAATTCATCATTTAGTGGCCCTAGATCAGCAATCTTAAAATTTTATGCTCAGAATCCACCTAAGTGATTTTTGAAACTCTCTGTATCCCTTGCACATTTCTACATTGACATTTAAAATTTTTTGTGATAAATAGTTACAAAGGATATAAGTGCAGGCATATTGTAGATATACTGCATTTTTAAATAAAACTGTTACATTTTTAAATTTAGCCAAGAGGCTCTAAATATAGTTATTTAATAGACACTATCACCCTTTGAAAAATTACATGAACAAGGCAATTTTTTTAATGACCAGTGTTAACTGGAACAAGACAATTCTTAATAGGAAAAGTCCCATTTTTCCTTTTACTCCTTGAATTTGAATTTTCATACCACTTCCCCCCTCAAAAATTTTAGCCTAATTATTTTGGCCTTTCATATCATTTAATTTTATCTCTAACAAAATTATATAATACCCTATTATCATAAGGCCCTAGGCCTTAAAAAAATATTTCTCCTGAATTGAGAATGATCAATAAACACATAGTACAAATTTTAACAAACAAATTACAAAACACAGTAAAACTTCATTGGAAATGTATCATTTCATGAGAGGAAGAGGGCTCTCCCCCTAATTATTATCATCTATTTATAGGTAAATATCATTTTTAGAATGAGCCAAGGTACAGCATCAGTTCTAGTCTCCCTTGACAATGCTCTGTGTGGAGGTGTTGGTCCTTGTTCACATAGACAAGTGGATGGGAACAGAAGTAGTTTTGTGACAGCAGTGTCACTCAATTCTCCAACTCCTTCGTAGTTATGTGCCGAAAGACTAAAAAATACACTGGGTGTTTCTTCCACTTTGTCGAAAGCAAAGAATTGGGAACCACAGGCCTTGCAAAAGGATTTCTACCCTGTTGTTGAGTTTTTCACTTTCCAAACATCCATATTTTGAATTTTATACCTTGGGTCATGCTCTACAGTCAGACTGGAGAGGGGAAGGCTGGGTGTTCTTTCGTAAGGTGAGAAAAGAGCATTTTCTCAGGCCGGATGAGTCTTAGGAAAGAGTACAATAGGAAGGTGAGGACCTGACAATTGATCCCCCCAAAGTATGCAAGCCTGCATATTCCTCAGTAAACTCTGGCAGATACCCAGGGGTAAGCCTGGCTTAGATTAAATAAAGACCATTGGCCTTGGTGGCTTAAGTTCAGATGTTAAGTAGGTCACAAAAAAGGTAAATTATTAGATTCTGTTGCCTGGCTGCCTTAACAGAACAGCAGGTCCTCACACGTGTTCCACCGTACACAAGTCCGGTATGACACTTCTGGCAAAAGCACTCTGAGATCATATTTGGAAAACACGATCTTCTACACCCCTCTTGTACATTCAGGTCTCACAGTAAATTATTTAACTTGGTGTAACCTAGCTTTCCCAAATGCAAAAAGCCTAACCAGACTTCCCCTTTTACTTTTCCAATGTTGTAAATAACACGCTTAGGGAAGTGGTGAAGAAAAACAACGTGTGATACACATGCGGGCATGGTTTTGATCTACCAGGGCTGCTGTCACGTCCTCTTTCAGAGCGTCCCTGTTAGGATTCTGCGTGACCCGAACTGCCTGTGCTTCCAGAGTCATGGAACAAACACATCTCAGCCAGGCTATGTGGCATCAAATAGACTCGGGGGAGAGCCATAATATCATCTGTGCCCTTCCTGAGAGAATGGATTTAGCCACTCGTGCCACCGAGAACCAGATTATTCAGGTCAGGATGAAAGCACCAAAGCAAGTGCTCTCTAAGGGTGGATTCAAGTTGTTGTAGCACCAGGAGGAGGAGAGGGTTTTAGGCAGAATGTTCTTCCCAGCACCATTCATGTTATAATCCCCTGCCTGCTCTGTGGCTGCCTATGGATTTTACACAGCGCCTACTGAGGAGATGCTTAGCTTCTGCCTCCTATACGGCCATTTCTCAATTTCTTTGCTACAGTAGCAAATCCACTCTAAGCAGAAAGGGGATGCAGGCCTTAGCATTTTGGCTTTAAAATGGAGTGAAGTGGGAAGGTGAAAAAAGGTAAGGACAGCAGCAGCACCGGAGTTCTGTGTAGAGGTGACGGCAGAGCTGAAAGAAACCAGGGCAAATTGCCATGTGCAATAATTGGGCTCCGGTGCCTGCCAGGCCAACAGCTAATGGGGGCACTGGCTACAGAGGCAGCATTCAGCTCAGTGCCCTCTTCACCCAAACTTTCTGGAAAGTTGCTTTGAACATTTGTTACTATTGTTACTAAGAGGAATACTCTTTCCTCCGCTAGCTGACTGCCAAGTAAAACAGCAACTCCCAGTTGAGAGAATAATAATAATAAAGTGGCACCACCAAATAACAGCCCCACCTGAGCCAGACTGCTGTTACCTGGACTCCTGGCTTTGGGGAAAGTGAGTGCCTCTAAGAGCTCATGGTTGAAGATGGTTCATGAGACCAGTAACCACAGCTTTTCCCCCAAAACCTTGGCACGTGGAGAAGCTCAGTAAGTTTTTGTGGAATGAAGGGGGAGATAGGGTCTTCTGCTCAGAGCCTGGTTGGTTTTACCACGTTCTTCAGCAAAACATGTGTGCTCAGCCCAGCATCTTGGATAACGAGGGGAGAGCCAAATGGTTCCAGGGCCCAGTTCTACCCACGTAAAGCACCAGTCTAGTGCTGGTTTGTTTCTCCCCGCCACTGCCATTGCTTATCACCGTTACACCTGTTTTCCCTCAAGTCAGTTCTCAATTCTCACTGAGTGTGAAGTTGTGTCTCTACTGACCACCCCTATCCCCAGCACTCTCCTCTCCTTTTAAAAGCCATATTAAATCGTTGAAATTGTAGCTCAAGACACAGCGGTGTAAAATTCTCACCAACTGCATGTATTATCATCAACTAGGTGGGTTTGCCTCTTTGTGGATGGCTGCATTTGAGATTTTCTGGAAGCATCCTAATGCTTTTAAGCCATTACAGCTTAGCTCACTGCTCCAGAAAATTGGGCAACCCAGAGAAAGTTCCCCATAAATGCAACTCACACCTGCTTTGTCAAACCAGAAACTGACCTCTTGCCTATGGAGAGCTGTGGACGCAGGGCCAGGCCAGAGGCCTCCCAGCCAGCTCAGTGAGGCAACTGGGTGATGAGTGAAGCTGGAGCCTCCTGGCAGAGGGCAAAGCAGGGGCAGGGAAGCTGGCTGAGGCTACAGCAGCAGTAGGTCTGGTCTCTCTGGCACGCTTTTTAAAACAAAGAGGGCCCAGGATTCCCACCTCCACGCCCAATAACTCCAGTCACAGAGCAAGCCTCTGCCGTTAATTAGAAATTGTCACAGTGAACGGCCCCCATCACCCAAACCCTTCTTGTGGACTTCAAGAAGTCCATGCAGGTGGTCTGTCTAGCCAGCAAGCTGGCCGGTGGTAGTTAAAGTGCATTGAGCTGAGCTCACTGACTGGGGACAGGGCTCCTCTTTGGGCCCTTGGGGAATCCAATGGCCTCCTTGTGGAATTGTTTGCCTTTTAATTAAGATCCTTTTCAGCATATAATGAATTAGTTCCTTACATTTCCGGCTCGTCTTCCGTGAAAGTCAATTACCTGGGTCATTAGAAGCGGAATCTTCTTGGCCAGAAAGGAAATCCTGCTCACTGTATAGGTCGTGCACAGAGGCTTGACTGACCGAGATTTTCATTGCTTTTATTCAATGAGGTTTGGAACATGAGAAGCCAAAAATGAGGAGCACGTTTTGGGGAATCCTCTATAGAGAATATAAGTTAAGAAGTATAAGTCCAAGATTTAAAAAAAAAAAAACAAAAAAACAACCACCTAGCAGGAAATCACCCCAACTCATGCCAGTTGGGTCGTCTTCAGACACGTCATCTTGATGGCAGGCTTGAGGAGAAGATGACGTCACAGATTAGCGTCTTCCCAGGGTGTGAAAAGAGCACATTCTCCCACATGCAAACGCGCACGCACGCAGGCACCACACGCTCACACGCACACACCCTGGCTTCTATGAGTAAAACTTGCTGTTGCTGACTCTCTTCTCTTTTAACCTGAAATAAAACACATGTCACCATCACCAGTGGAGCATAAGAAACAGGCCATGTCCCGAACACCGTAACGTTTCTCTATCCACACGTCTGTGGGTCACTGACAGCTGGATAGTGTGAAGCTGAAAGCGAGGTGTGGGTTCCTGCTGAGACGTAGGGACTCGGGTAGAATCTCCTCGTTGGTAGTAACTACTCTATGGCAGCGGTCCCCAACCTTTTTGGCACCATGGACTGTTTTCATGGAAGACAGTTTTTCCAAGGACTGGGGAGGGGAGGATGGTTTTGGGATGATTCAAGGGCATTACATATATTGTGCATTTCATTTCTATTATTACATTGTAATATATAATGAAATATACAATTCTCCATAGGTTGGGAACCCCTGCTCTATAGGCTGAAATAAAGATTAAGTGAGAATAACGTGGGTAAGGAGGTCAGCACAGTATTGCTCGTTGGTTGCTATTATTAGCATTCTCATCAGGATAATTCTTCGTTGGCTAGAACTGTCTGGCACATTGCGCAACGCTCTGCATGCCTGCCTGTCCCTCCCCACCTACAGCACAACCAAGAAGCATCCCTGGGGGGTGTGGGGGGGTGAGTATCTGTCCGATCTAGAACCACTGGACAGCCCATTCTTGGGGACTCAATAAGGGCCTCTGAAAAGTTAGTGGTCACCATCAATATTCACTGTTACATTTAAGTGTTCTTCTCGAGAAAACAGTTCTACTTAGTTAGGGAATTAGCAGGTGCTTAAAGTATTACTGTAACTTCCAGAGAGAAGAGAACTAGAGTCAAAGGTACCAAAGGATTTCTAAAGAGAGCAATTCCTAGGGGCTTTCCAGAAGCCCGGCCCCAGCTACCCAACATCATTGGGTCTGGAGAGCCCCTGGGATTTGCAGGTGGGGGGAAGGCTGACCTACCTCCGGCTGCACTTCTCCTGGTACAGCTGGAGCTGGTTCTCGTTGACATTGAACTCTTTGATGAGGGCATCCCGGTTGGCGTTGCGCAAGTTCTGGTGTGTGTCATACAGAAAGAGCTGGTTGTTGAGCTCTTCTTGCCGCCTCCGCAGCTGGCGACAGGAGGAGTACAGTTCCTCCTCGCTCTCCTAGAGAGTAGGGGAGACAAAACAATCGGGAGGTGACACCCCATCTTCCAAACCGGAACGTGGACATGGCATCTCACGGGTGTGCCCGAAGGGAGCATGGGGTGGAAGTTTTGTGACCGGGATTATCCCAGAAAAGCCAGGGCCTATTTTAATCAAAGGTAACAATAACTCACAGTCGTCGTACCGGAAGCAAGCCGTTCATAAAAATTCTCGGTCTTCACGATGTTGCTCTATTGTGAAACGGCAAGTGCATTGCCCAAGGATCCTATTTTTCCATCTAAGCCAGTTTTCCCTTGGCCTACAGCACCTTCTGGCCTTTAAAAGCAAAGGTGTCTACACAGCTGCATGCTTAAAGTGGAGCCCAGCCGATGAGAAAGAGCAGCACAGTGGGAAGACAGGCAGGAGGCAGGTAATTTAAGATCTTATAAGGGCCTTAAAAAGCCAGATTGTGCCATGGAAGAACCTTGAGAACATGATGCTAAGTGAAAGAGCCCAGTTCTGGAAGGATCACATATTGTGTGAAGCCCTTGATACGAAGCGTCCAGAACGTGCAAATTCACAGAGAAAGTAGACGAATGGTTGCCAGGGGGTGGGAGGGAGTGGTGACAAGTGAGGTTTCTTTGTGGGATTGATGAAAACCTCCTAGATTTGGTTGTGGTAATGGCTGTCCAACTCTGAAAATCCTTAAAACCATTAAATTGTACAATTTAAATGGGTGATTGTATGGTATTGAATTACATCTCATGGGCACCACCTCCAGGCACGGGACCCAACCCAGGCCAATTAGAGGCGTCCATGGGACTTTTGTTGTTGCTCTTGGTATAAAGATAGTTTCTTTTCTTGGGATCGGCTTAAAGAGTGGGGCTGTCTAGTTGCTAGTGGTCCGTCTGTGGTCATGTCAAGAAAGTCGAATAAGTACCAGTATCCAGCCATACCTTTTCAATTGTGGGGCCCAAAATATTCTCTCCATTATGCTAAGGGGAGGGAGGGGGAAGGGGGGAAAACCTCAGGGTAAAGAGTTTGGGTTTCAGTGCAGGGGGAAGCCGAGGACATTTTACCTCTTTTATGTTATAAAAGATCCGTGACTATTGCATGAGGGCTGGCTACTCAGGAGGGTGGGTCACTTGCTACTCTCCTACTGATAAGAGTAGTGTGAGCAAGACTCCTGTGCTACAAAAACATGCACAAACAGGCCACCTTTGTCATTTACTTTTAGAAAAACATGTACTCAGACCATACCTTGCTCTACTTTAACAACCTAACAAAACATCATAGATGTCCCCCAGGGTAACGGCTGGAACTGTGACTGTGGAAAAGGGGGAGAGAGATGATGGTTACTCTAGGTAATTGCAAAGGTGAAGAGGAGTCAGCAGAGGTAAAAGGACAGTCCTTGGTGACTGACTGAATGTACGGAGTGAGGCTTTGATAAGAGTCAGTAATGCCTTCACTTAAATTTATGCCCTTCCTCAAAGGAGACCAGTTATCCTCCCCATTGAGAATAAAACAACACACACAAAACTCCATTTAAGTCTTAACCTTGTAACACAAAAGGTTTCTTCTCATCCTCTGTTGCTTTCCTAGATGTAATGACTTTGTTATTCAGGTTCAAGTTCAAAATCCAACTTTTCTAGGAATACTTCTATAACTGCAGCCCTTCCGCACTTCTTCTCATTCCCCAAACACCTACAGCTAAGTTATATAACTTAGTCCTTCAAACACTAGGTAGATTAGATAGACAAATTCAAAAAAGGACATAAAACACAGGTACAGTGCAGTGAATAATTACCAAGCAAACTGCTGTGTCACCCCACCCAAGTCAGGAAAAAGTTGTCCACTCTGTGCACCCCTTTGAGTCAAGAATTTTGTGATAAATATTTCCTGGCTTTGAGTCTGAATTTTCACGCAAAAAAATTTAGTTTTTGCTTTTCAAGTATATAGTTAGAAAACATAGTAAGCCTGTGGCATTAAGTTTTCTCTAGCCTGTGACAGAATCCTTATGGCATTCTCTACGTTTAGATTTTTATCTTTCGTGAGAAAATCACTGGAAAAATTTTTTTCTTATGTTGAAATTTCAATCCTACAAGCGAGTTGCAGTCAGGGCACAGAGAGTTCCTGCGTGCCCCAGTCACCCGGGCTTCACCGTGTTGGCATCTTGCACAACCAGCAAAACTAAGAAGTTAACGTTGGTGCAATACCATTAAACTACAGATTTATTCACATTTCGCTGGGGTTCCCACCAACGTCCTGTTCTTGTTCCAACATCCAAGCCAGGGTTCCACATTATATTTAGTTTCTGGGTCACCTTAGTCATCTTCGATCTGAGGTTTTATCTCTCCGTCACCTTTTATGACCTTGACACTTTGGAAGAGTACTAGCCAGGTACGTTGTAGAACGTCCAGAGGCTTGGGTTTGCACCTGGATTTTTCTCGTGACTTTGTTCGAGGCTGTGCAGTTTCGGCAAGAATGTCCCCAGAGGGACGGGCCCTTCTCAGTGTATCACATCAGGAAGTCCATGACATTGACACATCTTAATCTTGGTGGTGGTGGTGATGACCATTTGTGTAAGATGGGACCTGCCAGCGATAGCCACCGTAAAGCTGCTATTTTTCCCTTTCCAATTAGGAAATTTCTGGGAGGAAGATACTTTGGGGACAATGCGAACATCCCATTTCTCCAACTTGTACTAGTGTTAGCCTTCACTGGTGGCTCTAACCTGTGGCAGCTGGAACTGTGCTGTTCCAATGCTAACTTTCTAGTTGCTTCATTCTTTCTGTATTTGTTAACTGGAGTTCTTCTGCAAAGGAAGACCTATCTCTTCTCTCTCATTTATTCATTCACCCATTCACGGACATACTGCATTATAACACATGGAATAAAATATCCATATTACATTTTGTTGCCCAGAATGCTCTAGCTTTGGCCATTGGGAGCACTTGCTAGCTGGCTCCTGGGCCCCTTTGATGTGCTCCCATCCTTTTCTTGGCACATCTTGAACTACTGGAACTTTAAGATGCTCCAGGCTCATTTTATATTTTATCCCAGCTCCAGAATCAACCACTTGTCTAAGGACCTCTGATTTCTTGTATTGGGGACTCATATTATATTTAGAAAGCAATATCTAGGTGCTTAGGGATGTTCACTGCTGGTAGGATGCCACTGGTTCTAGGCTCTTAGCAGATAGAGCTAGGATATGTATGTATTTATAGTAACGTATGCAAACACATGCATATTTAGTTCTCTATCTACCTAGCTGTGTGTATATATACATGGTTTGAGTGAATTTATACTAATACTACTGATTCTAATCAAACATCACTTTTGGAAGCATTGCTATAAACTTTTACTGTTTACATGTTGCTTTATGTCTTTGAGTAAAATTTTATACTTTTTTTTTATATAAGCTCTATACCTTTCTTACTTAAGTTACTCTCAAATGTGTTATGCTTTTTGTCAGTATCATAAATGGAATTTCCTACCTGTCCCTATTGGTCAACCAACATTTCCATTTATTTCCAACATAGAAGTGGTTGGATTTCATAAATGCAAGACAAATAAGTATCAATCTCCTTAAAATTGGAATCTTGGCCAGATGTGGTAATCCTAGCACTTGGGGAGGCTGAGGCAAGAGGATTGCTTGAAGCCAGGAGGTCAAGACCAGCCTGAGTGAAACTCTGTCTCTACAGAAAATTAGCTGAGCCTAGTGGTGTCTGCCTGTAGTCCCAGCTACTCAGGAGGCTGAGGCTGGAGGATGATTTGAGCCTAGGATTTTGAGATTGTAGTGAGCTATGATGATGCCACTGTACTCTAGCCAGGGTGAGACAGAATGAGATCTTGTCTCAAAAAAAAAAAAAAATTGGAATCTGTTTTTTAAACTATATAATCATAATTTGCAAATAGAGCTTTTATGCTTTTTCCACAAATTTATACTTTTTATTTCATTTGGCTGGTTACATTTGTGGCATCTAGTAGTTTATGCTTTTTTTCTCAATTTGTCACTAACTATACCAGTGTTAAACCATCCTTGCATTCCTGGAATAAACTCTTTGTTTATTAACTTACTCTTCTAATAGATAGCTACAAATTAGATAGCTAGAAATTAACATCTATATTTATAAGTGACGTTGACCTATGTCTATATGGGGTGGGGGGAGAGCTAGGAGTACTATCTTTCCCTGGTTTTGAGATGGAAGTTATATAGCTTCAAGGTAATTGCTGTATTTCCATTTTTCTATTGGCTTCAGTGGAGTAAAATTGGAATTAGGTTATTTAAATCCAGATATAATTCAGCTATAAAAGCATGTAGATCTACCTGTTTTATTACCCTTCAAGTGTCTTCTATAGGACTTTGTCAACTCAGGATGAGGAACCGGAGGCTTCAGAGCCACATGAAGCCTTCTGGATCCTTGAGTGAAGCCTTTTACCTGCATCCAAACCTCACAGAACAATTCCCTTTATTAAAATATTCTGTAAAATTTGGATTGGGTTGAGGGGCCACATGTGGCCTTGAGACCACAGGTTCCCCATCCCTTAGGTTCAGTCTCCTTTCCAGTATTGACTCTGGTATATTTTTGCTCTTTGTTCCTTTATTAATAGGCAAAGAGGTTTTTTTGTTTGTTTGTTTGTTTGGTTTTTTTGGTCTTTTGGTGAAATAGCATTTGTTTCATTCAATTGGCTTTCATTTGTTCCTCTTTTCTATTAGTTTTACTGGTGTTTTAAAGGTTCTCAAGATGAATACTTAGTGCATATGTTTTTAGTCTGTGTTCTGTGATGTTTTAACTATTTCTTTTAAATATAGTTCCAGCATAAATGTTTTATTTGCAATTTACTTGTTTTGCTTCCTTATTTAGAAAATACACTTTAAAATAAATTTGAAAGGTAATAAAAAGATGACAAAATGCTATCAGGTTATACCCAATGACTTAGGAAATCATTTTTAAAAATGTATTAAGATTTTCTTTTTGACCAACTATGCAATCAGCTTTATAAAGTTTGAGAAGTAG